TGAAGGGATTTAGATATCCATCATGGGGGTTTATAGTTCCCTTGGAGGGATTTAGATATCCATCATGGGGGTTTATAGTTCCCTTGGAGGGATTCAGATATCTATCCAAGGGATTCCGGATTTATAGTTCCACTGGACTGGAGGGATTCAGATATCCATCATAGGGGGTTAAAGTTTTACTGGAGGGATTCAGATATGTTTCTGAAAGGTTTGTAAATCCCCTAGAGGGATTCAGATATATGTCCGAAGGGTTTATAGTTCCAGTGCAGGAGGGATTCAGATATATATGTCCAAAGTTATAATTCCACTGGAGGAATTTAGATGCGTTTCTAAAGGGTTTATAATGCCACTGAAGGGATTCAGATATTAATCCATGGGGATTAAAATTCCACTGGAGGAATTTTGATATGTTTCCGAAGGTTTATCATACCCCTAGCTAGAATATATGTGATGTTACCTTGAACACGGTTTGGTTTTCCATCCAGACTATAGAGAATATATTCAAGGAACTCCCTGTATACCAAAACATATTATATTGTATAGAGAATATATTCAAGGAACTCCCTGTATACCAATTCATATTATATTGTATAGAGAATATATTCAAGGAACTCCCTGTATACCAAAACATATTATATTGTATAGAGAATATATTCAAGGAACCAAAACATTTGATGGAAATCGGCCTTATTGATATTGTTGCATGACAACAATATCGTTTTAACATTTTTACATTTAACATTGATATTGCATAACGGCGATATTAGTTTAAGATTTGTTACATAACGACCATATTTTTTAACATTTGTTGCATAACGGCGATATTGTTATAACAGTACATAACGGCCAAATTAGAAGAACATCTTCTACCTTACGGCCATATTGTTTTAACATGTGTTACATAACGGCCATATTGTTAAATGTTAGTTACATAACGGCCATATTGTTATGACATTGTTGCATAACGGCTATATTATTATAACCATCGTTACTTAACGGCCATATTGTTATAAAATGTGTTGAATAACGACAATATTGTTAACACATTTGTAACATAACGGCCATAGAGGGCACATTGTTAGAACATTTGCTGCTTAACGACCAGACCGTTTTCAACAAACAAAAATCAACGGATTTCACTCTAAACCACAACTTAATGTTAAAAAAATTGTACAGGCGTTTATATCAACACTTTGAAGACAAGTTTCGATTTCAATCTTGATTTATATCATATATATATAACTCTCATGCATACTTTGAACATTTTTCCCTTTTCATTTATTTGATAAAAAGAAATATGATTAATACTTTTCGTGTTTTTCTTTTAGATTTAAGATTTGTGTTTTAAGGTTTTAAATAATTATGGTCATAATTTCTTGTTTTAAATTAATTGGTTTACAATGACAGAGAATTAAATTTAAAAAGTCATTAGAATTTAATTAACTTTTGGATAATTTGGTTCAACAATTAATTAAAAGTTGCTGATTGAATCAGATCTATTATTAACTCAATCAAATAAATTCCCAATGAGAAAAGTTTATAATATTTTTTTGATACTTTTAAGAATTTCATTAACTAAGCATTTGCATGAAATTGGAGAAGTAAACGGCTCTGGTTGCATCAGATTACATCCTCAATTTTGTAATCCTAATATCTTTGCAACCTATTATCAAAAGTTTACACCATCAGGTTGCAAAATTATTGAAATGGAAAAAAATTTGGAGTCAAAATCCAAAGATGAATCACACTTTTATCCAATGTCTAAGTTTATGTTTATTTTCTTTAATTAAACTTTTTGCAGGCAACTTATTACTATTATTGATTGTTGGTAAGTTTTTGATTGATTGAATGATTGATTGATTGATTTATAGAATGTTTTGTTTCCTCTGGTTCTCTTCCATATCTTTTTCGTCCAAAATATAACTAATAACATCCAGACCTTCAACCCTAAAATAAATTATCTATTAAAGGGACTGTGCACGTTCTACAAGTGACTCACAAGGTACCATTACAGTTTTTTTGATAAAGAACACATGTGATGTAGATTATTTTTTACACAAAATGAATCAAATAGAGGTTGAAAGGGTACTGTTGGTAATCGGGCATACCTCTTTTAAAATGGAGGGTCATTTAAAAATACTACGATAATTTCACAGATATAATTTCAAAATTAAACTTAAACTAACTGCAATCATCATGGAGTGGCACATTTTTTAATTTTCTCCGGGTAAATTCTGCCCTGAAGTCATGTGGGGCCCAATTAAAAAATCCATGCCTTCAAGATTTTAGATTTAAACCAAGAGTGAAACTATTAAGCCAATTTTAGAAGAAAAAATGCTCAAATCCACCTCATTCAGATTTGTTCCTTTTTGTATAAATCAATTTAAATATCCATGTTTGCTCATAATTCAGTGTAAAAAACTTTGTAGTTGTATAGCCAAAAATAATTTTAAAAATACCAAAAAACGGACAAATGGACGCGATATTTTAGCGGTTCAAGACGCATCTTTGATACTCATATCAACATGTTTTAAAAAGATTGAAAAATCGACTTTCTCCTAAGATCTTTTTTATTTGAATCGTTATTACTGAATTCGTTCATAAATGTTGCTTCTAATTTGTAACTGAAGCAAAACAGGATTTGACATTTTTAATTGAATAGTTTCACCCATTGGTTTTACTTTAAACATATCAACAAACTAACAGCTGTAAACCAAATGTATAGATATATATATACAATACATGAATAGCCTTGGTCGTACCTGTAAGTGTGTGTAAGCATCTGCAGCAGTGCAGTACACCCCGACCCAGCAGGGGAGAGTACACGGACAATAGAGCCGTACACTTCATTCGCCAGAGCCTTGTCTATACACCTCTAGAAATATTAATTAATATACAGGGTGTCCCACGAAACATGACAGTTGATAAATAGTTTTGAATGTCGTCTTCCATACACTGTATTAGATATTAAAGGCTGTTTGCAGTTTATTTCGTTTAAAAAATCTTTGCTCTAGTATATTTTACTTTGAAATTAATGTTACTATAATATGACTACTAAATAATATTTTTATTATTGTCTTTCGTATTAAAAAACTTATCAAATTATGGAAGAAGACATTCTAAACTATTTATACCAACTGTCATGTTTCGTGGGACACCCTGTACTAGAAAATAGTGATAAGAGAGTACAGAATTCTTTTCCAAAGCAGGTTCCATTAAAGCTGGAGAATGCGACCTATAAACAGACGTCTGTATTTAAGATTCCTTTGGATTTAAAACTTTTAAAATAAAGATAATAATCATGGATCGGAATCAGTCCCACTGTCCCAGTATAATAGGATAGCCAGCCGGGACGATACGAATCTAGTACATCTGTTTCTTATAGATTGGAGTTCCAACTATTATGATTTTATTGTAGAATATATTTGTGTATTAGAGGATTATGATACTAAAACGGGGAGAAAAATGATATATCCGTATTATTACCAATTATTGCAAAAAGAATTCTATTCAATATCTTCAACTGTGTTTCACAAATATTTAGAAAAAGAAACAAACAACACAAAATGTCTTTTAAAGGATGTGACCGTGTAGACATGGTATGTTAAACTGAGAGTGCAGTACTGTAGAGAATTTTTTTCGGATTTTTTTGAGATCTTCATTACAAAACAGTGTAATATTGTTCGGCAAAAGCTAAATTCCATCTTTAAAAGCCTCCTTGGCGCCGCCCGCCTGCAAGTCAGGCGCGCCGTGGAGTAACACCTATCTTTTCATTTTTACTGATTTTTTTTAATTGTAAAAAAAATCATGTTCATTTTCAACAAACTAAAAACAATTAAAATCTGAAAATTGTACGCTTTTCATAATTACGTGCTATGTACGTTTTTTTAAATCACCTGAACTGATTTCATTTCACGTTTCCGGCCTATAAAGCTTCCGGCCAACTCACTGCACGCACTACAATAATAATCTTAACATTAACACTGCTACAAATATATACTATTTATAATTAATTACTGAAAAAATAATAATAATAATAACTTTTATAAATACTTTGGAAAAAATTGTTTAGCCTCAGGATATTGATACTCTTAAAAAATGTCAACCAATTTTGTCCTGCCTTTAGGACACCTAGAGCTGACATATATAAATATATATGAGCTTTATTAAAAAGAAGACTCGCTGAAGTGCCCGGCGGTGCCCGTGAAAAAAAAAATCGAATATCTATATAACAAAATTTGATTTTAAAAAAATCTACTTTTTAGCCTCCACTTGGGTAAACATGGCTTCCCTAAAAAATGTAAGTCAATTCGGTCCAGCCGCTTGGCCAGCTATAGCTAACATATATATAAATATATATTTCAGTTTTTTAATCACATATTTTTAAAAAATATTACAAAATTTCTTTGAAATGATTTTCCTTTTAAAAAAAATTCAGCACTAAACTGCAATATACAAATTATTAGATAAATATAAAAACATGATAACATTATGCATGCTAAATCGATGATAATAGATATTTTCTTCTATGCCGACATATTGTATATATATATACAACTAGCTTTTGTGTCAGGCGTTGCCCGTGGAATTAAAAAAATTTTAAACAAATTTCGAGGTTTAAAAAAAAATTATTTTTGAAAAAAAAATCGTATTCTTTTGCCTATGTTACCCCCCAGATACTCATGGTTTCCCTCAAATTTTTCATTTACTTTAAATTAATAATACTATTAATGATCAAAACTATAATTTAGTCTGCACCTGAGCTGGTTTTGCTGAAGAGCTTGTATGGAATGAATGGAAGATATGATGGATGGTGGATAAAGATTGGAAATGGAATTCCAAAGATTTTCTACTACTCTGTCTCCAAACTCCTAAGAGAAAAAATAGATTAAAATGGTTCTAAATTGATTCTTGAATATTAAAAAAATATTTTGTTCTGATTTTTTTATAAATATTATACAAATGAATAGTAAGTACTTACTGACTGAATGTCTTACTTTTCATACACCAAACTAAATCTGTATTAAGACCCAATTCCGGTGACTTGATTTAATATTTCATTGTATCTTACTCCCTTATATAGCAAGTACATAAAGTACTTATTATAATAATAATCCTAATTGAATCCCTTGGTAAGAACTTGAATCCTTATAGTTGGATCCCTAGACCCTAGAGCTGAATCCCTATAGCGCTGAATCCTGGATTACCTGGAGGTTTCCTGCAATATGCTCCCCCCGAACTCTACCACCATACTTTGCTCTATATCCTTCATTCACCTCTTTAATATTAAGTTCAAATAGTAATAATAAAGAAATAATTATGATAATGATAATGATAATGATAACGATAACGATAACGATAACGATAACGATAACGATAACGATAACGATAACGATAACGATAACGATATGATTTCCTATAAAATGGTTCCAGAAATGCAATATCTAAAGAATACCTTTAAGCTGTTTACATAAAGTTTATCGGACAACGTTGGGGAATGTAAAATATCGGAAAGTTCGGGAAAAATGGGAAGTTTTTCCCCAGAGAGACATTTATATCATCCCCCCCCCTCCCCGCTCTCAATACCCTACTCTGGGCTGTGATTTATCTAGATTATTACTCCCTCCCCACCCATACCCTACCCACTATAAACCTACATAACCACGATGGCTTAAATTTAAAATTTTTGCTCTTGGGCCGGGTCTGTACATACAGGGGGGAGTGCAGAAGTCCTCTATGAGTAATCACCGCCACCCAAATGGGTTTTGCGGCATGCGCGCTCCTCAATTGGTAATCTCCACCATCTTAATTGGTAATCAGACAAAGAAGCGTAACATGAAATCGTTTATTTCTTAGAAATAAGACCAAATTGACCTCTGTTAATGGCCCTATGGTGTACAATATTCTTAAAGCTTTCTTTATTGCTCCTCGGTTTTAAAAATAAATCTATAAATTTTCCACATGAAGTTCTAGAAATAAAATTACGTTTTTGCACCTTTGCGATTCTAAATTTGCAATGAAGCGCTAGTTAATTAGTGAACTTGCTACTTCATTTTTACTAGGGGGCGCGATGAGACCAATTTATCTAAATACTTTGTTCTTTCTATGCATGTAATTAGTTTTGTTGTAGATGTTGAACTCGAGTAGGCAAATACAAAAATCCTAAACACTGTAAAGGTTTTTTGAAAATATCTTTTAAATGGAGATAGATATTACTTTGAGCGCGGTAAGTTAATTTTTAGTAAACAGGCAGCCAGATCGTTCAGTAGCTTAACTCCAATCATTAAATGCAGTAATTAAATCAGGGAATTGGATCTAAGATTTGGCTAAAATAAATTATGTCTTGTTTCTCAGTTTTTGTTGAGCAAAACAATCTTCTCGAAAGAACTCCAATTTTCCAATCCATGTATGTCTTTGGAACCTTTATTATTTCAATAAACATAAAACTCTGGAATAGGAAAACTAGTTTCAGGCTCAAAAAATGATCTTAAATAGTCCAATGAAAATGAAACACAGCAATTGTGCAGTGGAAATAGACCTATTTCAATTAAAAATTGAATCAGTAAGGTCCTAGTAAAACTGTTTGCTTTGTAACAAGGTACTTATGCAAGGAAAGTTATTTCAGAGGTGTACGCATTTTTTGTACTGCAGTGTACTGTCTTTGGGCGGAAAGGTAAACACAAGACGGATGTCACAGCCTAACATGAAATCAATTTTTACAAAATAAATTATGAAATATTCTGGTCATAGGAAACTATTATGTTAATTTTCAAAATTATTAAAATTAAATGCTTTTATCTTCCTCGGATACTAGAAGAACACTGATGCATCTATTCTTGTTTACAAATTCCGCCCAGAGAGAACTGGTTTCAATATGTACGCAGAGTATACGCGACCGTATTGTTCTCACTCACCGTAGCTAAACTCATATTAAAACATGATATGGCCTACTTTACATCAGTTTGTAATTATATTAGGATGCGAAAAAGGACTAAGCTATCAAAGATGGAAAATGTTATTGCTAGTTTCCTACTCACCTAATCCACTGCTTTTTATTCGTGCTTTCAGATCAGCGAGTTTCTTCCGGTCCTCCGCACTCTGGGTTGTAAAGTTATACCTGGATCATATAGTATTAGTATTAGGTTATCATCAAACAAAGAAACTAATTACTCTCCGTAAACTCTGAAAATCAATGTTTCTTTGGAATATGTTGACTTTTTATGTAAACTTTGATTATTCAATATTTTACTATTCCATTAAAAAGAATTCAATGTTTGAAATATTTAGCCAATAAAATAAGTGTAAACTGCGGTTTATTTAAAGTACCGTACTGTCTTTAAGGAAGCTAGGGTAAATTGTACACTGTACAGTTTAAATTACATACAGAGTATCAAAGAATTATCATGTAAACTGCGGTTTATTTAAAGTACCGTACTGTCTTTAAGGAAGCGCTAGGGTAAATTGTACACTGTACAGTTTACATTACATACAGACTATCAAAGAATTATTTAAAGTACTGTACTGACTTTAAGAAAGATGAGGTAAATTTACACTGTACAATTTGCATACAGACTATAAACAAACATTAAGTTGTACAGTACAACAAATAAATCCTCTGCTAATTGTGCTATATCAGATTGAAAGTTTGCTTATCAGTTAAAGTGTCCATCATTCGATGGTCTCAAGAATATCATTGAGATAGACCTAGCTGTATTCTTGATTCCAAAATCGGATATTATCCGTATTTCTACAGAGATGAACATAATATACTTTGATAAATATTGCTCCAGGTTCCCACCCTGCTCATAAATTGTTCTTATCCTGTTCCAGATTCCTATTCTAATCCAGGTTACTATACTGGTCTAGGTTCCTACCTTGTTCCGGTATCTACCCTGCTCTAGATTTCTAGCCTGTTCCAGATTACTAGCCTGTTCCAGGTTCCTACTTTGCTCCAGGTTCCTACCCTGTTCCAGGTTCCTACCCTGTTCCAGGTTCCTACCCTGTTCCAGGTTCCTACCCTGTTCCAGGTTCCTACCCTGTTCCAGGTTCCTACCCTGTTCCAGGTTCCTACCATGTTCCAGGTTTCTAACCTGTTCCAGATTTCTGCCATGTTCCAGGTTTCTACTATGTTCCAGTTTCCTACCCTGCTTTAGGTCCCTACCCTTCTCCAGGTTCCCACTCTGCTCCAGGTTCCCACCCTGCTTCAGGTTCCTACCCTACTCCAGGTTCCTATTATGCCGCATATGTATATCTTGCTACGGGTGCCCCCCTATTCTAGGTAGCCTAACCAACCCTACTCCAGGTTTCTACCTTGCTAACGGTTTCTATCTTGTTAACGATTACTATCTTGTTAACGGTTCCTACCTTGTTAACGGTTTCTATCTTGTTAACGGTTCCTACCTTGTTAATGGTTCCTACCTTGTTAACGGTTCCTACCTTGTTAACGGTTCCTACCTTGTTAACGGTTTCTACCTTGTTAACGGTTCCTACCTTGTTAACGGTTTCTACCTTGTTAACGGTTCCTACCTTGTTAACGGTTCCTACCTTGTTGACGGTTCCTACCTTGTTAACGGTTCCTACCTTGTTAACAGTTCCTACCTTGTTAACGGTTCCTACCTTGTTAACGGTTCCTACCTTGTTAACGGTTCCTATCTTGTTAACGGTACCTACCTTGTTAAAGGTTCCTACCTTGTTAAAGGTTCCTACCTTGTTAACGGTTCCTACCTTGCTGTTTCAGGAACTGTTTTAAGAAACTCAGGATCCCGGAAATAGAAGAAACAACGGTCCCTGTAGAGTAGAGAATAAACAAAATACAAATAAAAATTATTTAATAGAAACTATGCTTTACTCCCTCCCCACCCGTTTGGTTTAAAATATAAGAATAGAGCCCCTAAATGTAAATAAATTACCTGTGAGAATTGACCCTTTGTAAAGCTCCAACTTCTATTTCTATTTCTGTTATTGAAACCTCCTTTTTATCAATGGTGGAACCATTTCCTAAATATATTGGTATAACCACAATATTTATCTTAAAAATACATTGGTATAGAATAACCACTATATTTATCTTAAAAATATATTTGTATAGAATAACCACTATATTTATCTTAAAAATATATTGGTATAGAATAACCAATATATTTATCTGGAAAATATATTGGTACAGAATAACCACAATATTTATCTTAAAATTACATTGGTGTAGAATAACCACTATATTTATCTTAAAAATATATTGGTATAGAATAACCACTAGATTTAGCTGGAAAATATATTGGTATAGAATAACCGCTTTATTTATCTGAAAAATATATTGGTAAAATAACCACTATATTTACTGGAAAAAAATATACAGGGTGTCCCAAAAAAACTTTCCAGTGGTTGTAACAAAAGTAGTATGAGATCTTGCAAGAAAAAATGTATAGCTTTAAATAACTGAAAAAAAGAGATTGATTTTTAAAAATTTAACAAAAATTGTTCCTTCAGCACCCAATAATCCGAGTGCATAGTTTTTTAAGACACCCTGCATTCTAGAAAATAAGAATTTTTACTTAATGTTAACTCTCAGAAATAGATAATTGTAGTAAATAAAAGTAAAACGACAAAAGTATTTGCGCAAAAAAAATTATAATTCAACAAATTTCCTAAAACACAAAACAGAAACTTTTTATTTGGATAGTAAAATAATTGATAATCAAGAAATCTGAAACATACGGATAAGCACTTAATCCAAATGAGAAAAAAGAAGAGAATTGTTTTCAGGGAAGACAAATTTAAAAAATACTAGACCCATGGCAGGTACGTCGATTGGTCACATACGAACGAACCATTTGTTTTGAACTTTTTAAAAACGAAAAGCAAAAAAGGAACCCGTGATGCAATCGATTTTTATGAAAAAATTTCACTAGTAAATATGAGTGTTTTGACGTTTATTTTTAATTTTTTTTCACAGATAGAAAAGTTTATGAATGTTGTCGTACATGGTTTTTTTTATCGAGAAAAATAACCTGTATGTTTTCTGACCTAAGGTTTTCTAATCTAAGGGTTTTCCAACCAAAAAAAAATTAGTCTGAAGAAGGTTGTCAAATTATTTCTGTAAGTATCTCTAATTGAAGATTTAAAGAATTGAGAGGTTTGTGTTAGAATAGTATACAAAAAAAAGATACTTCAAACTAACAGCAAAATGATTTGATTATGAAAATTACCTTCCCAAAAATGCTACAGTTATTAGTTGACTCTTAGCAAATTGTAATTCCAGGTTTGAATTTGAAGTATGGAGGTATAGGACATTCTTAGAAGTCTGATTTGATTTGTTATTGGATATGGACATGGTAATAATTGATGATTTCTATCAACGGAATGATTGGTGTTAAAATAATATATTCTACAAAGAGCTGTCGGGAAGGAATGTACGGTCTTTATTATGAAGGGTCGTTGTTAACGATCGTTAACGTAGGGTTGTTGTTAACGGTCATTAACAAAGGACAGTTGCTAACAATCTTCAAAAATTAAAAACGACCAACCGTCGTTAACGAAACAACGAGCTAAAACTAAAAACAGCTTTCAGTTTTTTATTTATAAAAAACGATCTTTTTCAAAAATTATTGTTTTTAAAAACGATCGAAACGATTTTCGATTTTCAAACGACGTTGGCAAAACGGAACGATCGTTTAAAAAAATTATAACGATCCATCCCTACCTGTACTACCTGGTTTTTAAACACTCCAAACCTTTTCAATTGGGGCACCCTGTACATTGTTTTTTCGAACACCCTGAACTTTTTCTGTGGACACCCTGTACCTTGAGTAAATGGTAAATTCCTGTGTTCCTGTTGAGGAGGAATCCAACCATACCTCTCTCCCAATATTCCTAGAATATGATCAAATATAATATATTGATTTATATTAATAAATGTAAAAACATTTTCTCTAAATATTAAATCTCTTCACCAGTTAATATTTATTAATATTAAATGTAAATAAAAGATTCTATGCTAGTAAGTTGAAATGTAGCAGACGTATTTTAATTTAAAAGAATTTCATTAAAAAATAATTATGATATGTCATACCAATGTAAAATTAAAATAGAAATTATTCATATTGTAGCGATAAAATTTGTAAGTTTTAAAACAATAAGATTATTAATGACTTGGATTTTAAGGGGCTGTGTCACGCTTTATCTGTCTTTTTAAAAAATCCTATTTTGATTTACTCCAATAAAAAAAAACTTTTTGTAATATTTTTTTTCTGTTTGAATTGAGCGATTTTCAAAAACCTGAAAAGTCAAAAAAAAAATACAATTTTGACCATTTCCATAACCGTCCAGCTGGAGTTATGTGAGTGACCACAAAAATTGTACTTTTGAGTACAAGCAAGCTCAGAAAAAGACAAAAACCAATATATTTAAAGAAAATGACAATATTTTACCTATGAAAAGATCTGCGGCTAGAACCTGTTGAATACAGTTCTCTACCTGTCCTGAACCCATCTCAGCTGACCTCACTCCCCACCTCAGGTCAACCAGGTCAACCTTAACATAATAATATATACCAGGCAAACCCAGAGCTGAGGTTGTAAACTATAAACTCCGGTTCATTTCATGTACAAGGCCGACTTTTTAGCAACTAAATCAAGCTGTACAATAAATATATGCAACATATAACTTTTACTAGTACAGCCATGCTCTAGCTGGTTAAAAGTCGGAATCGTCTAGTTTACAGTGACAAACTATAGATAAAAGACTGACCGGGACGGTACACCAAATAAATTAGCCCCGGCCTTTTGAGAATATTACAGTGATTTTGTTAATCAGAAAGTATTAATCTAATGGCCCATCCCGGACGCTTTACAGGTGGGCACATGCCTTTCCCTTTTCTCCAGAATGGAGGGGTAGTGTTAACTGGGGAGTCGAGGAGGGGGGCGGGGGGCAAGAATTATGTGACAAGAGGATTAAAAGTTAGAAAAAACATAAATTTACTGAATTAATTTCAAAATTTGTCCATGTTATCCCCTCAATCGTCCAAATTATCTATAAATGTTCAAATTATTTGATTGCACCAAACAAAGAATTTAAAAACTAAAAGTTCTTTATTCTATTTTAACTGTATATATATATATCCTCTAGCTGTTTCTATGTATTATATATTTTTCTCTTTGAAGCAAAGATCAAAGCAACCAACCGCGGTCCTGGATTTACAAAATTGGAAATACAGACAACTTGTTCTACTTGGCTTCATTTAGGACTGCAGCCGCAATTAACGCGGAACAATCGTTTGTATAATTAACGATCAGGATATTCCGCTAACGGCCAAATTGTTTGGCCAATGAACGATCAGAATATTTCGTTAACGACAACATTGTTTGTTTTTTAACGATCAGGATATTTTTGTTTTACGGCCAAATTTGTTGTTCAATTAACGATCAGAATATTCCGCTAACGATCACATTTTTTGTTCAATTAACGAACAGGATATTCCGTTAATGACCATAAATTTTTTTTTAAATTAACGATTAGGATATTCTGTTAACGACCACATTTTTAGTTCAATTACAGAACAGCATATTCCATTAACGACCACATTTTTTGTTCAATTAACGAACAGGATATTCAATTAAAGATCATATGTTTTTTTCAAATTAACGATCAGGATATTATCTACCACAGTTTATGTTCAATGAAAGAACAGGATATTCCCTTAACGAACACATGTTTTTTTTTAAATTAACAATCAGGATATTCCGTTAACTATCGTATTTTTTGTTTAATACATGAACAGGATATTCTGTTAACGACCATATGGGTTTTAAAATTAACTATGAGGATATTTCAATAACGATATGAATATTCCGTTAACTACCACATTGTTTGTTTTATTTACGAACAGGAAATTCCGTTAACGACCACATTATTTGTTCAATTAACATTTAGAATATTCTGTTAACGACCATATTATTTTTTCAATTAAGATTTAGAATATTTTGTTAACGACCAAATTACTTCTTCAATTAACATTTAGGATATGCATTTAACGACCACATTGTTTGTTCAATTAACATTTAGAATATTCTGTTAACGACCACAATATTTAAGATTTAGAACATTCTGTTAACGACCACGTTGTTTTGTCAATTAAAGTTTAGAATATTCTGTTAACGACCACATTATTTCTTCAATAAACACTTAGAATATTCTGTTAACGACCATATTACTTCTTCAGTTAACATTTAGGATATTCTGTTAACGAACACAATATTTAACATTTAGGATATTCTGTTAACGACCACATTATTAGGTAAATTAACAAACGCTATAAAAACAGTTCTCGATGAAGCTATCATATAAATTATCGAATGTGGTTGGAGGACCATACCAAGAACGTGATTTTCATTTTTTTAAATAAAGTGAAATATTAAACGCACGTGCATGGTCCATTTAAAGACCCTTGTTAACAAACAAGCGGTTTTCTAAATTTACGAACAAACAAGGATAAAAGGTAGAAAACTTAATAAGTGATAAAGAATTTAGTTCAAAAGTAAAAATTATTTTTTATTTTAGTATATTTTACTTTGAAATCAATTTTACTATAATATGCTGCCATAAAATATTTTATTATTCTATTTGGCATCAAAAACCTTTACATATTACATTAAATTAGATTTTAACCAATTAATGTTTGGTGGGACACCCTGTAGTTTACCTTAACATAAATACTTCTACATCTCAGCTCAAGGATTGGTAGAACGTAGACATGCAACAAGTTTCTCTCACCCTACACACAAATATCAATATTGTTACATCGTCTATACGCAATATCCCCCCTACTAAACCTCAGACCTACTAACTTTTAGACCTACTGCAATACCGGACCTACACCGGAGCACTGCAGCAAGAACAGGCTAGAAGGCCGATCGCTGCAGCTAGGACAGCTAGGCTATGAGGCCGAGCGCCACGGCTAGGACAGGCTAGGGGGCCGATCGCTGCGGCTAGGACAGGCTAGGAGGCAGATCGCTGCGGCTAGAAGAGGCTAGGGGGCCGGGCGCTGCAGCCACAAGTCCAACAAGCAACTAATGTAAAACCACGAGCTAGGAGGTCCGATGTGTAGTATAACGGATTTGGCGTAGGTCAGAAGTGAAGTATAGCGGATGTACGTAGGTTTAAATTGCACCCCGCGACCAACGGGTTTCCCGACGCTCTTACATCTCGTACGTAAAGCGATCCGACTGGAACAGCAGAGAGCCTGTCTATATGATTTTCACAAGGTTTTTGCGCCCCGTGACTGGCAACAAATTGCGTGCTTTGAAAATCCAAAGACATTTGCCTACACACTTGAGCCCAAGACTTTCAGGCTGAAACGTTCATTGTACCCTCCCCATTCCCATGGCTAGCTTGTATTACATTTGGGTGCAGATCCGAGAACTTTGAAAATCCTAACATTTTTTGCAACCCGAGACTGGCCTGGTGCCCTTCCAACGAGCTAGAATAAATCATCTCAATAGAATTTTGGTCCTGTGCCTTCACTTTTGGAGCAATTTTGCTCACATTTTTCGGGGAATCTCCCAATTTATGAGGCATTGGTGGGTACCGATTTGGTTTTCCTATCACAAAAGACCATTTAGAAATAATCGTTTGATCTAGGAGCTAGACAAAGCGGAAGCCTACAATTCTAGGGCACCATTCACAGAGCCCGTTACCGTATTCGTCCCCCAGCCTAGAGTTTTCAAGGGATCAGGCTAAAACTTGGAGGGTACCCTCTCCATTCCCATGGCTACCTTGGTGCAGATCCAAGAACTTTGAAAATCCGAACATTTTTTGCAACCCGAGACTGGCACACTTGAACCCAAACCCGTTTAATTGCCATTAAAGTATACAAAATTATTAAAGGAACTGTAAACGAATTATAATAGATCATTTTCGGAATAAACACTTTTGGAAAAATATTTCATTCCAGAAAAATATCTAGAATGGCTACCTGCATATCCAGGAAGGTTGAGGATACGAGTGTTTACCTGCATATCCAGGAAGGTTGAGGATACGAGTGTTTACCTGTATATCCAGGAAGGTTGAGGATACGAGTGTTTACCTGCATATCCAGCAAGGTTGAGGATACGAGTGTTTACCTGTATATCCAGCAAGGTTGAGGATACGAGTGTTTACCTGCATATCCAGGAAGGTTGAGGATACGAGTGTTTACCTGCATATCCAGGAAGGTTGAGGATACAAATATCTTGATACTCCTCCAAGCTGGATAGGAGACTATAGTTGCACGTGGAGAGGGTGTAAACTGGTTTCCAGGTAAACAATCTAACAAAACAGGTCTTTAGAAAATGAACTGAATGCTTGCTTCACATTTTTATTTTATTCCTAATATCTTTGTAACCTGGTGGTGTAAATTTTTGATATTTCAAATTTTGAATATTTGATCTTAATCGAAATAAATATGATAAAGTATATTTATATTATCAGGTTTTAAAGATATAAGGATTAGAAAATTATGCTATGAAAAGATTTAAGGAATTCCATTCAAATAAAATAGTTTGACAAGATTTGATTAAAAAATTTAAAAAATCTATGAAATTTGCTCTCGAATTTACAAACTTTTTTAAAAAATCTATGATATTTGCTCTCTAATTCAAAAACTTAAAAAAAGAATAAGAAAATTATAAAGCAAAACTCTATAGCTGTCTGTAGAGCGTTCATAGTATATTTATAAGTTAGCAGAGCTTAAAACATTAACTTTGGAATTGGAAACCCATAATCCTGATCACTTAATATGAATATCCACTGTGGAACCTTTTAATTTTCTCTTTAATCCGCTCTTGTTGGATATCACATTTCCTACTACATGTAATAAAGATACGTTTGATTACAAATACAGATACGATGCTAAATCGAGAGAACTAATAAACGATTGAAATAAAGTCAGCTGTTCATAAGCCGGTTTTTTGAGCATTTAAACAAATATAAATTTAATAATGTTTATATGAACTTATTAAAAAAACAAACATATTTTATCACATGTGAGGACTACAGTCTTTTTGAACGTCAGTCCTAATAAACATTAATCCAAACATTCGTTCAATCGATCATTGTTCAATTGATATTACACCACAAATGCGGGAAAAGCTAAAGAGCACATCTCTAATCTCTAGAAATTAATCTAGAGACTAAATTAGTCTTGAGATTAGCATTCTAAAGTTTTCAGCTCATGAAATTCTGTTTTAAGTTTTAAGTAAGTTTTAAATTAAATCGATTTGTTATACATATTTGTTAAACAATAAACTATCAAATAGTTGCTGTTCTGAGATTTAAGACCTTTGATGATGGGAAAAATTAGAATTTGTTTCGTTTCCAAACATCCTTTTTAAAAAAAACTTTAAATTCCATTTACTAACCCAATCTTGTACTTGCGCACCATTTAAGATTAATATACAGAAACGGGAGGGACTCTCTAATTTTGAAAACCTGTTTTTGATTTTTTTGTACTACATCCAAAAAGACTGGATTAAGCAAGAAATTAAAAGTGTCCACATTGGATATTCTGATCAAGCAGTTGGGATTAAAGGTATCCAGTTCTAAAGTTTCCAGCTCTGTTCAGATGTTATTTAACATGTTTTTAACATTTAAGATTAGTTGATTTAAGGGGCTCCACAATAATCTGAGATGCTATTTAACCTGTATTAAAATTGCTAGCTCAATAAGTTTGCTTTTACTATGCAACATTTTTACTCTAGCCAAAGATATGAACCAAAAACATTTTTCAATTGGTAAAATCGTTTTAATATAAAGTTTAGAAAGGAAAATTTGCTTTTTGTTAAACATCTCATATTCTTTTAATACACATTAAAAGCCGTAAACCTCAATTTGATGATGGACTTGATAACTATTTCTAGTTAGAACGAATGGGCTTTCTTCAAACATTATACAGTAATATTCAAACTAATTGGATGATTGTGTGATTTTGTATGTATCTAAAACCATTAAGGCTCCTTTTAACCAGGACCTTAGTAACAGTTTTAATAAAGGAATCAAGTCTTTGTCCCTTACTTAAATATTCTAATTCCCGTATCTTTGCAACCTGAACTATGTTGCATAACCTTAATATCTCAAACATATTTCATACAACAGAATACATAGTAGAACATATCTAAAATCTATGACATTGGGTTGAAAAGAAATAGGGATAAGAAAATCAGAGGTTGTTCCTTTATCATTGTGTTTCCTCTTTTCTACAGATTCTCTAGAATTCCACCAGAGCATAACCAATGGAACAATTTTAGGAAGCACTTAGTATTAGTTAAGCAAAAATTTTCTTTTTCCATTAAAAAAGTTTTTTTTTAGTATGTTAGTCAAATATATTTATATCTTGAATTAGTTTTAAATATAAAAATATTATGGAGCAATGTTTAGATTTTAACTTAATAAAAAGTTTTAAAACAGTTTGAGATATGTTTTCAAAAATAGCTATAAAGAAATTGATTTTGTACAGGAGGGGGCTAACTTTTTTATATATATATGAGGTTTTAAGGATTGAAGGAGAAAATGTTACTTTTTTCCCAAGCCCTGTTAAATGTTGATATCCTCTAAATTTTAAAGATTCGTTTAGAGAAAGGTTTTTAATGGTACAATAAAATATTAAAGTTGGGTTCAAATTTATTTAAACTTTATAAACATCAAATCGATTATCCCATTTGGGGAATGTTAAATGAAGCAAGAAGGGGCTCGAAATAATTGGTCTGAATAAAGCTTTTGCAAGATGTATCAAAGGTCTTTGTGAAACACTGGAAGCCAGCAATCTTCATGCCAATCCCCTCTAGAGCCAAAGTTTCCTCTTCAGTGTATTTATCAGCACACTTGGCAAACATAGGGTTCATAGTCATTTCCTCCATTACTTCCATAACACACTCATCAATAACTTCTTCAGACAGCTGAGCACTGATTTCTGGGTTTAGAGAAGCAATATCCTCAGCAATGGTGGCATTAACCTCATCTCCGTTTTCATCAATCCATCCCAAGCTCTGGAGGAAGCATTCAGAAGAACCCATTTTCTCATTCATCATTTCAGTCAGATCATCAAATGAAGGACATCTGTTTCCTTTTCCCTTTCCTTTTCCTTTGCCTTTTCCTTGTCCTCCGCGTCTACGCCCCGTTGCTTCTCCATCACCCATGAAACATTGAACAGCTTCCCCCATTTTGCTCTCAAGGTTTGAACCAGAAATACACATAGCATGAAGAGTCATGGTATCCAAGCACAGTCCTGTATCCATGCTATCCATCTAAGAAAATGGTATTAAAGACAAGTTGGTAAAATTTAAATCTTTTACGATAATTGAAGTTGCTTAAGCAAAAATTTCTCAATTATCAAATTATGCAAATATAGAGAAACATTTTTCAAATCAGTGAATGCCAACTTTCCCATTTTTCTATATTTTTATTAATAATAAACAATAAATCATTATTTTATGTACATTTTAAAGCAACATATTTGAGATTGTGGGACTTTTACTTGTTAGCTAGTACTGTTTAAACTTTAATGATTATTCTTTCTGAGTTTAAACTTCCATTTCTTCAAAAATGAGTTAGTTGAGAATAGGGTTTCCACAAAACAGTATATTCTCTTGCCCAACAGTTTCGCGTTTTTGCTCAAAATGTTTTTTGCACAAAATTTTGCATCATTTTTGTATCAATACAAAACCAGGTTTGCACAAAATTACACATTTGTTCAAAATAAATTTTTTTTCTTTTGCACTAAATTGGGGATGAATACATAACAAAAGTTAACATTTTTGCTTGCTTTTGAGCATGAAAATAAGTAACATTTTTTCATGACATATTGCTCAAATATATAAAAGATTTAAATGTTAGTACAGTATGATGTGAATCAGTTTCAGTAATACTCAACTTCCATATCTGAAGTATTTTATTCATGAACATTAATTTCATTATTATCATTTTCTATAGTTTGACACGGTAAAAATGTTGGTTACTTTCTTTAATAAAAATTTGTTATGATAATTATTGTTATATTATTATTATAAAGATTTATTATTATATATTATAAAGATTTATTCACACACAAAGATATAAATACATATATAAATGGTGTAGTTTAAATTTGTTTAAANTTTTCCCAGATCTTGTATCTTTATAAAGAAAGCCTTGATGACTGGCTTGTTCCTTTACAGTGGTCTCACTATCCATTTCCTCCAGGGAAGTATTTAAAGAATTATCCAAGGATTTTTTGGGTTTTGGCCCCATTTTTGCCACGAGATTGGCGAAAGCCAGATTATATCTAGAATCTTTCAGAATTCTATGAATGTACTCTAAAGTTGTGTGTAAGCCTTGAATTGAGAAAGCAGTGTGAAAACTGCCTAAAACACTCTTACAGAGAGATGTTTACTACTCAACTGCCCTGAAAAAAAAAACAGAAATAGGTGCCATCACTAGATGTTCATCTATGTATTAATATATCTATATTGATATATATACATTTCTCTTGTTTCAATATCTGTTTGTCAGTTACCTATCTCCGTCGACTGCACCTAATTGTCTTAAAATTAAATGGTGACTTTCTTAAAACCTTAGAAGTGAGGCCACTGCCAAAGGTGTAGGTGAGAGCGGGCCGGAGTATAGTGGCCAATGGGGCTATGATTGGTTTAACTTTGAATTCATCCATTTCTCGGAATTTTTTCTCAAAATTTAATGAAATAGCACGCAATAACAAAATAGCTCGAAATAACCAAATAGCAGGAATTACAAAATGCGCAAAAACCAAGATTTTCTTCATAATTTGCACAAAATAGCTTTTGGGCCTCAATGTTAAATTATATCGAAATAACATGAAATTTTTACTCGAAATGTAAAATAACTCTTTGCACAATTTTTGCACAATTTGCATGCAAAAAATTTTGATTAGAAACCCTAGTTGAGAATATAATGTAAAATTTACCTCTTCCATGGAGTTGTGGGCCAGAGCTACTGAAGCAAGTATAAGAGTACAGAAGAATGATTTCATGTTTCCGCTTTATTGAACACTGATGTCTTACTAACATTTCACTACTATTTTATACCCTACTACAGGTGTACATGCAAATTAGATTATGAAATTTCCAGGGATAAAAATCAATATCCATGGAAATTCAGAAACTTGTTTATATTACTAACAAAATAAATATAAATATCAGGATTCTTTATTATTTACCTTACAATTTTCTATTTGACTTAAACAGATTTTCATTTGTGTTGACAAAGGCAGAACAAATATAGTTTTGATACATCTAAGTTTTAGAAAAATTTGTTTAAATTTAATAAATTTTGAAGCATATCCATGAGATGTCCTCCTATGCCTATAGAAATAGATTTACAAGACTGCAAGCTAGCAACAAATACCCTTACTGGGGAATGTGACACTGTTTCCTTTCTCCACCCCTAACCCCTGAAGGCTTCTGCCCTGTGTTTAAAATACTTCTTCAATTTATTACTAACAATATTGCTAAATTAAAAATTTAACTCTACCCCTTCCCTCTTACTCTGTAATGCAAAGAAACCCAAAATTTTGTTATATATTTTTTGTTAAAAATTATTAAGTCCAAACCAAAAGGTAAGAAAAGAAAACTTGGAGCTAAAGTTGATTTATAAAGAAAACAAAGAGTTGTATTAGCATATGCATTTTATCATTTAAGCTGAATGTTTCTGGTTCAAATAGAGATATGTTTAATTTTCAATTTGTACAGAGAAAAAGTAACAAAACTCAGGGGAGTTTACACCTCCCTGATTTTACTCGGAAAAAAATTCACTGTTTTTTTTTAAATTTTGTCTTAAAAAAGTTTTGATTTAAGAATAAATTTAAAAAAAAAAAACATCTTTTCATAATAAAAACTTTCATCTGGGTGTAATTGTTTTGCATTTTAGAAGAAAATTTGTAAAAAATGCCAACAAAAAAAACATAAAATTGATCTTTGCTAGATGATAAAATTTCATATTTAAACTCGTTTTACCCAAATGCTTCAAAATTTTTTTTTTTTTCAGGTCTTGGGGGGGGGGGGGGATCATTCAGAAGAATTTAAATTTGAATTATATTACATTGCATTGTAGTTATTACTTATTCATTTTGGTCTAATTCAGTCTCAAATACTTGATATATAACTAGCACAATTCACAGCTACACCTCAATGTTCTGAAAACCAAGATGTCCCCTATTTTCCTACATAGATCGTCATACTGAAATGCCACAAAGGACCAGAGTTTCTGTCATTGTTCCCACAACTGTATGCCATGCTATATACAAGGTTTAGGACCCTATTTTGTCAAATCTAAAATGTTGCTAATTAGTTCCTGACACCATTCTTAGAACATTTTTGGAACCTCCAGAGAATTTTCCTTGAACAATTTAAACAACAATAAAAAATATGTGTTCAATCTTAACACTTTTTTGCACTTTTGATAGTTGTGACAACATAATAGTTTCCCTTATTACAAAATATTGAAACTGTTGTAAAATTAATGGAACATTAAACCCACAAAATCACTTTATTAAGTTAAATTAAGAAAAAAAATTATATATTTTAATAAAATTCATAAAGTAGGAATAATATGCTCAGATGTTGAAAATTGAAATGTACACAATGTTGGATAAATCACATTATCATAGAGAAATTTGACGTTTTCTACAGATTCAATAACAGTTCATTTTTAATTTTAGAACAAATATTAGTTTAAAACTTAATTCAGAAGTAAAGTGCTGCTTAGTTAAAACTTAACTGAACTACGGTTAAATGATCACTGTTTATCAGATAAGATTAAGAGCTCCCCTCCCCTAATTCAATTTGTAGGTTTTGTCAACCATTAGTAGTTTTACATGAAAAAGAGTGCTTGATAGAAGCTTAGCTTCTCC